GCAGAATAAAAATATATTCTAATGACAATATTTCTATCAATATGACTAGGTTAGGGAAGTGCTATGGAAAGTTTACAACCCAGTAATAAAACTTATTAATAACTATAGGTTGGTTAGCTCAAGAGGAGCCCTGTCATGAAATGTAGCATAGAAAGAGAAATTGAAAACTTCACTTGCCCACCAAAACTTGGCAATTTCCTCTATGGAGATGAGTATTATGGAGGAAACTTTTAGAGGAACACACTGTATAAAAGTAATTACAATATTATTACATTCAACATTTCAGAGATAAGAAAACCCTACTTAATTATTGAAAAGGATATATAACAAACACAAAATAGCATTTGCTAGGGTTAGTTAAAAGATTAAATACCAAAAAATAAACAGAAGCTAAATTTAAAAGCTTTAGTCTCCACACCATTGTTTACAAAGATACAAAAGATCAGGTATCACAACAAAGTACTAATGCTTAGTTTGGCAACCAGTTCTTAAACATTTTTGCATTTATATCTTTTTGATCCCAATGTCTTTCTTTTTTTTTTTTTTTTTTGGAGAGCTTTTCACTGTAGGGCGCGTGCGCTCGCCAGACAGACAGAGAGAGACAGAGAGACAGAAAGCGAGAAATCACCCCCCAGGGGGGATGGTCACGCCGCAATCCCTTCTCCTCCATTCTCCTCTCGGGCTCTTGGGCACGCACGCACATGCGCCCGGCTTGAGTTTTAAGCCACCAGGTCCGGGACACGAACCGCGGTCTACAACGTGGGAGTCCAGCGACATAGCCATTACGCCAACTGCTGGTTCCCGATCCCAATGTCTTTCTAAGACTGAGACTAAATAGGGCCTAACAGTGAATATGAAGGATATATTAGCTGAAACTGTTGCTGAAACTAGACCATTGTATAAAATGGTCTCAGTACTGCCATTTGATCTTGGTAAAATTGTTAATACTAACCCTATTTCCTCATCAGTTAAATAAGGATAAACATCATCCCTTCTCTCACAGGGCTTTTTTATTTTAAAGAATTATTTATTTTAACTTTTCATTCATTCATTTATTTATTTTAATTGGACTAGAGAATGACAGAGACAGAGAGAGAGACTGAGAGAAAGTGAGAAAGCAAGCTGCCAGGTCTGGGATTCGAACAGCAGTTGGCCATGTGGGAGTCCATCACCCTTAACCAACATGCCACCTGCCAGCTCATAGGGTTTTGTATTTTTTAAACTGCAAGGCCTTTAGCACAATGTCTATAGAACACATGGAGGTATTTCATAAGCATTAATTCCATTCCATTTCATCCACAACCTATGAAAATGATTAGTGTCTACTATGACACCTAAACTGCTTTTAAAAAACTGACATAAAATAATTTTGGGTGGGGAAAGGTTTTTTTTTTTTTTTTGCTATAGGGTGCGTGCGCTCGCCAGACAGACAGAGAGACACAGAGAGATAGAAAGTGAGAAATCACCCCCCAGGGGGAGTGGCCACACCGCAATCCCTTCTCCTCCATTCTCCTCTCGGGATCTTGGGCACGCACGCACATGCGTCCGGCGTGAGTTTTAAGCCACCGGGTCTGGGACTCGAACTGTGGTCGACTACATGAGAGTCCAGCGACATAGCCATTACGCTAACTGCTAGTCCCCATAAAATAATTTTTAAAAAGAAAAAATTCACATATAATAACTGTACATATTTCTCAAGTACAGTGTGATTTTTCAGTATAAGAATACAATGTGTAATGACTGAATTAACTCAACCATTGAGACAGTTGCCTTGTGTTGGGAACATTCAAAATCTTTCTGAATTTATTCTGTGTACTCACTCCATTTAAATTAAAAAAGATTTCTGAACTGTTGTTAACTATATTCATCTTACTACATCTTATAACACTGAAAATTGTTCCTGTTACCTATTTGCAATTTTTTTTTTTCAATTTCCACAGAAGACTGAGAACATGCAGAATTCTCTTTCTGTGCCTGGCTTATTTTCATTTAACATAATGTCCTCCACACTTGCCAACTATAAATCAAATGACAGGACTTCATTTTTTCCTTTTTTACCAGAGACCATATGTGCTCACCAGAGAGACAGACAGAAGGAGAAGGTGAAAGCATTCTCCAATGGGGCATGGTCTTATCACAATAATTTCCCTTCCACTTCTCTATCATGTCTGGATTTTGGGCACACAAACACATGTGCCTGATGTGTTTTTCAAGCCACTGGGTCCAGGATTCCAACTGTGCAGTTGGCCATGTGAGAACCAGCTCCCTTAACCACCAGGCTGGGTGACCAGCTCAAGACTTCTTGTAAGTGACTAAATACTACTCTATTGTGTGTGTGTGTGTGTATGTGTATGTGTGTGTATTTATATATACACTGTATTTTGAGAGCTTGTTTGGAGGTTCAAGCAGGGGAACACAGCTACTCCTATACCCTTGACTGAAGAATGGTCCTCCTCTATCGGGGATGGTTGTCCTCTTTGACCAAGCACACAGTTTTGAAAGGGAAACACGTGGAGTGGTGAGGAGGAAGGGGACACCCACCTAGCCAGCCAGATCAGCTGAATTAACCCTGGAGATCAATGGTGTGACAGATGTCACAGCCAGATTACCTTCACATCCAATAAGTGCTGCAATGAACAATGCAGCACAGATATGTTTACAACTTACTGATTTCTTTTGGATATATGCCTAGTAATGAGATTGCTGGATCATATGACAGCTCAATTTTTAGTTTTTAGAGGAACCACCATACTGTTCTCCATAATAAGTGTACTAGTTTACATTCCCATCAACAGTGTGAAAGAGTTCCCTTTTCTAGCCAGTATTTGTTAATTTTGCATTTTTAGTAATAGCCATTCTAACAGGTGAGATGATATTTCATGGTGGTTTTTACTTGCATTGCTCTAAGGATAAGTGATGTCGAACATTTTTTCCTATGTTTGTAGGCCATTTTGTATGTCTTTTGAAAGGTTCTTTTATTCAAGTCATTTGTCCATTTTTTTCTTTTGAGAGGTTTTTGCCATAGGGCGTGTGCGGTTGCCAGACAGAGACAGAGAGACAGAAAGCGAGAAATCACCCCCCAGGGGGGATGGCCACACCACAATCTCTCCTCATCCATTCTCCTTTTGGGATCTTGGGCACGCATGCACATGTGCCCGGCATGATTTTTAGCGCTACAAGGGGCCTCAGAGGCCTCACTCTTCTTTTCTTTTTTTTTTTTTGGAGAGGTTTTTGCTATAGGGGGCGGGCGCTTGCCAGCCAGCCAGACAGAGACAGAGAGACAGAAAGCGAGAAATCACCCCCCAGGGGGGATGGCCATGCCGCA